TTTTCATTACCTACATTCCACATACTATTGAAAAGAACATTATAAATCACGCAAATATTCCCAGCTCATTGAGTAAATATTAACATAATTATTTGTTTGGCAACATTTTAAAATTATAGGGCGACAATTTCTTCGCCCAGTGATTATATAAACTTTGGTCCAGCTAAAGCTCTACTCTGTACGACTGTTTGATCATAGACTATTGTGAGTTTAACATTGACAATATGAATATCAATTAATGTTTTATTTAATGTTTTGTAAGATACATAAATTTTAACTTTCTGTACTCCTTCTGCATATACACTTCAACTATGCCATGTTCTTAATATGCAATATGCTTATAAAGGGATACAAAGATTTCTCTTCCCGTGCTAATATATTAAATTAAGAGAGTGGTAACAATGCGTTTTACCACGCTCTTATTAAGCGTTCATCTTAGGCAGAAAAGGAATACTACCATCTAGTAATAGCAGGTTATTAAATCAGAAGTTATTGTTTTTTTTTTGATATACGTAAAAGAAAATTAAAAAATATGTAATAATATAGGACCGGCTCTTCATTAGATAAAGTTAGGTGAGGATTATAATATAGTGACATAAGTTATATGACTGTGCTATAGTGATTTATTACCCATAAATTTGTTGGTACCTTCTTCGTGATTAAAGACGGATGCCCTGAAACCAATTACTTTGGCAGAGAGTGTATTCGGGTAATTAAATTCAAAGTTGTTGTATAAAAAGAAAAAAAAATGGCTGCAGATGGAATTCTCATTTTAGGTTTTTCAACATTGATCCAGTAAAAGTTTTATAACGATTTTATAACACCTAATGATTTTAAAAGCTAGGCCATTGTACCGAAAAAAATCTGCTTGATGAATTCTTCTGCTCGAAAAATCTTTCCGAATTGATGGTAAAATATATAAATTTATGCTTTCAATTCATTTACATAAGGAAAAAGGCTAAATAAAAATAAGCGAATATTTCATTTTCAATTTAAACACAGAACTAACATATTTTGTATTTCTTTAAATCTTTTAGTTCAAAGTATTGAAAAATTTATGTGAAGATATTGTTAAAAAAAACGCTAAAAACGCTCTATGTGAAAATAGGGTTTTTTTTTTTTTAAACAATTAACTTGCTGATTAAACTGCAATATAGTGCTGAAATTAATATAGAAGAAACTGTCACAGCGACATTAAACAAGAGAAGGGCAGCAGCACCATTTTAACCATGATGCAGTTATTATACATGTAGATGAATATATAGTCTAGAGAACCGGAGACCTTTTTTACTGGAAACGAAACATTCCATCTTAGTCTTCAGGAATAACCACTGAATTGAGAATGGATGTAGATATCTATGGGCCACAGCATCAACTTACCTGATGGACAATGTGCTCGTTTATCACTTTTATTATATAATAAAAAAGCATCATCCAAAGAACAACTCAAAACAAATAAGCTAAGTATAACAACTAAGGCAGAATTCCCCCATATCAAGCAACTTGTCATTTCTCTGGTATTGTAAATATTCACGGGTGGTGTTGGTAAAGTGCCATCGGGTGATCTGCATTTTATTTGCCTCCCTTCTTCCTTCCCCTGGTAACCCCTTCTATTTAAAAAAAAAACCTTAAACGTGTCTCCTGGTTTTTACATTTGCCATTCGAAACAGCAGAATCATTATGTATACATACTAAATATGTCGTACAGATAAAATAATGCATTAATAATAATAATATAATTATTAATGTATTATTTTAATAATAATAATAAACAGGCGTAGGGAAGTGACGACCCCATCGCCCGCTGACGTAACGGTTATGTGACAAAACTGCTACGTCAGCGCAGTCAGTCAGCACCTTGCCAAGAGGTGTTAGCGCCGTGCCTCGGCAAAATTGAAGGTGCAAAGGCCCGCTTGTGCACATGGCCTTACCATGAAATGGTGCCGGGTCTGGGCGTCTCCCGTTTACTGACGCCCACTTCATGGATGATGGAATTAAGGAATACGCGCAAAGGGCCGCTGCCTGGAGGTCGCCAGGGCGCGTCTGGAGCTGGCGGTGGACGCGACAGCATGCGAACCGCCAGCCGAGTGCGAGGTGCTGCACGACCACCCAGCAGTCCCTCGCATCCATCATCCCCACCAGCTGGCTTGGTGATGGCAGGGTCTTCGCTGGCCCAGCAATCAGCACCCGCCACTGGTGGAGTACGCCGCATGCGGTAGTCAATGCAAATGAACAGAAATGCATTGCAAATGATATAGAAAGCTTAGAGTTATTTGTAGACTTATATATGAAACTCAATATCACACACGTGCACAATGAGAAAGGATTTGAGTTTATAAACACAATTCACTATAAAAACGTCAATTTTCATCAGACCGTCGAAACATATCTCCTTTTACCGTTATTATTTTATATAAATCGTCAAAATTAGAAAAAATATGAAAACAAAACTAATAGTTAAAAGTTGAAGTTACTCTATACCATATATACATAATATGTTAAGCGATATCTTCGCCGATTCTATTAAATAAATATAAAAGTAAAATATTTTTGAAGATTCCGTAACTCAAAAGGAAAAAAACTGCACCCTTATACTAGGATCACTTCATTGTCCGCCCGTCCGTGTTTCGGTAAGCGTGAAGGCAGTTTGTTAAAATTAATATATAAAATACGTATTAATATATAAATTAATATACAAATACGTAGATCTATGGCACCTTGGAACTCTAAAAAATTCAAGCTTTTAAGTCATCGCAATAAAAATAAGGCCACTTAAACGACACATGTTGATACTCGCAAATAAATCAAAACCTCTAGGATATACCTAGACTATTGACCTAGAATAATGAAATTTGCCAAAAAGTAAGGTTTACAGTACAGGTAAAGCCCGATAGTCATTAATTTGTAGTTATTGTGATTACAAACTTACATTAATTTGCATTTGGAGAATTGACCGTGACGTATATCGATGTGTGGGAGGACATTTTATCAACAACAGAGTAAAGTTTTTCCTTCAGTCCTACTTATATTTTCGTCAGACTAATGTTTGGTGCTTTCTTAGTTTATGTACTTCAGTGGGTAATGTTAATTATTTTGTTGAAAGTAGTTAGTATTTTGTTGAAAGATCCTGTGAATGCCTGTGACGAGAGGCAGTTGTTTCTCGTCTTAAAGGTACTAATATTGTAGTTATAAATTTCGGGGAGAATTAGTATGTTTTCTTTAAGCGTGGTACATTAAAACTTTTTTCTGTTTAATCGATTTCAATGATTCTTTTTTATTTGAAAGCTAGTGCTTCTCATGTGATTCCATATAAATTTCATTAAGGTCTGATCAATATTTTTTGATTTATCCTTAATAATTTATTTTGAAGTCAGTTGAACAAAATTTTTATATTTAAATTATTTGGAAATTGTGTAAAACGTATTATTTTACGAGACATTGGACATTAAGCTAAAATACTATGTTCGTGCTTTATCAAATCAAGTGCTGTCGATGCTTCAGCTGTCTCGCGCAGGCTGGCAAATGTCAGCACTCTCTGGCGGTTTAAAGGACGTTGATAAATCGTTTGGGGGCTCGAAAGATATTAAGCGAAGTGGCAAACAATCGCCTTCTGAAATTTTTAGCTCCAAAAACGTTTTAACCTAAGAATTTTTGCAATAAATTTGGCCTTATTATTTATATATTACACCTTTATATTTCTTAATATATACCCGAGGTAGCCCAAAGACTAAATGCACGCTGGAAATTACACAGAAGTAGTAAATTTACGAGCAGCCTGTTTTCGAACCCTATGGTACAAATAGAACTGTTAAGCATAATTTAAAGTACTGAGGACCACGTGTTCGTTGATGAAGTAAATCTAAAATAGGAAACATGCATGTCTGACGAATGAAAATGTTTTTAACCCTACAAGGCACTCAGTACCATATGCGGGACAACCACTTTAACGGTTCCTACAGCACTATGGAATACTAGCAGCGACATCTCATGGTTTTTGAGGGACACGTCGCAAATATAGCAATGTTATAATGCAAATAATTGCGTATAGATGTCGTTATTGATTCGATTACTCTCAGTAAACGGTGAAATTTATACCCAAGGTATGCGTTTGACGTTTGCGTAAATTAAATAAATAATAAAATACAGTTATAATAAGTTTTTTCTCCAGGAAAAAATATAACGTATTGTAAGAAAGTGTTTATTTGGCAGAGGTAAGTTAGTTTTCTATTACTGTATTATATCTATTGATAAATCGTATTTTTATCTATGTTCCACATACGGTACGTTGAGCTTTAGCCTTCCTTTTTACGAATACGTACTTACGAGAAGTGTACTTATGAATACTTTTATTTATTACAGATTATGTCGAGGAAACGATTGCGTGATGAAGATATCGAAGATTTCTTGCGTATACCATCAGGGAGTGAAGATGGCGAAGACTTCTCTGAAGCTGGAAGTGATGAAGACATAGAAAAAATTCAATCTACCGTCAGTTTTTTCTCTGAATCCCTTACTGATATAGAAAAATCACCCCAGAAACATTTCCGTTTGTCTCCTGCTAAAGAAAATGCTTATTTATCGAGCGAGCAGCAAATGACAAGCCCTCAACCTAGTACTTCAGGTGTGATTTCAGCGAGGACTTCAGGTGACAATAGACAATCACGTGAAACGAAGCGATCATCGACTTCCGTGAGTATTGCTTTTGCTAACAGAACTAGACAACATGGCTCTGCGTCTGTCATCAAAAGGAAGAAAAGGAAGTTCATTTGGAAAAAAAAGCCTTTTCAATCACCAAATTCACAGTTTACTGGAAACGTAAACTTACAGTCGCCAATTATAGAATTTGAAACCCCTGTTCAATATTTTTCATGGTTTTTCGATGACGAACTACTGGGGCATATTGCAGAAGAAATGCACAAATTTAGCATTCAAAAAATTCCTCAAAACCATTCAACATTTCAGTTATTGAATTGAAAAAGTTTTTAGGTATCTGTCTGATCATGAGCTTGTCACCATTGCCGAATATTCGAATGTATTGGGCACCTGAATTGGGTATTCCTCTGATTATGGAGACAATGTCTCTAAATCATTTCAAAAAAATCTGCCAGTTCCTGCATTTCAATGACAACACCGCGCAATCACCCTCAGGTACACCAGGTCATGATCGTTTACATAAAATCAGGCCAGTATTGGAAACATTGAAAAAGAAATGTTTAAGTATCCCTAAAAGAGAGGCACTATCTGTTGACGAGCAAATGTGCGCGACGAAAGCTTCCAATATTCTGCGCCAATACCTTCCAAATAAGCCACATAAATGGGGGTATAAATTGCTGGTTCTATGCGATGATCGTGGCTTTGCTTACGATTTTGAAATTTATTCAGGAATGGAGAACGATCCAGAACTAAGGGATTCAAGTGAGCCAGACTTGGGAGCGAGTTCAAATATCGTTGTACGCTTAGCTAGGTGCATACCCAGGAACCAACAATACCGGTTATTCTTTGATAATTATTACACGTCACCGGAATTGATTTCATATTTGGCCAAAGAAGGAATCTTATCGCTGGGGACTGTGAGCAAAGGTCGTTTGGGAAAGGATGTTCAAATCCCTTCCCTAAAAGATCTAAAAAAAGATAAGGTGGAGAGAGGTTTTTCTGAGGAATGGGTGGCAAATGTTGATGGTACAGACATTGTAACAGTGATGTGGTATGATAACAAACCAGTTGTCTTATCATCGTCTTTCGTGGGCCAAGAGCCAATACAATTAGTAAGAAGGTACTGCAAGAAACAGAAGAAATATATACAGGTAGATTGTCCCCAAATTGTAAAAGTATATAACCAGCATATGGGAGGTGTGGACCTACTGGATTCGTTCCTGGGAAAATATAAAATAAAAATAAGGACGAAAAAATGGTATTTGAGGCTTTTTTATCATCTTATTGATGTTATTGTCGTAAATAGCTGGTTACTGTACAGAAGAGTTGGGGAGCAAAAGCAAACGCCAACCCCACTAAAGCTGAAGGACTTCAAATTTGACCTAGGAAAAAGTTTGTGCATGTGTGGGCCATCAATCACTAAGAAAAGAGGCAGACCATCAAGTATGTCTGATCAAATAGAAATAAAGAAAAAGAAGCCAAATACGGCAATCTTACCCCCTCGTGAAGTCAGATGTGACGGGTTTGAACACTTTCCAATTTGGGGTCAAAAAAGGCAGCGCTGTAAATACCCTGGTTGCAAAGGAAAAACATTTATATCTTGTGAAAAATGTCGAGTTGAACTCTGCTTCAATAAAGATAATAATTGTTTCAGAAACTTTCACCAATAGGTACTTTAAAATAAAGGATATTATGTTTTGTTATAATTATTTTGTAAAATGTTTATTTAATTTGTTAAGTACACTTCAACATAATTCAAATGGTAATATGCTCCTAAAATACGAGTAATTCAAAAGTTCTATTTCAGTCACTAAAAAATATAGTTAAGGCTCAGTGTACCACATATGGAACTGAAATAAAAGACTGATTTTCTAGTTAATTATTGGGTTTTGATTTTTTTTATTATTTTTTCCCAAGTACTCATCACTAACAACATTACATATATTTTTATTGGCAACAGAAAAAAAATTGAGCATTGTAGGGTTAAGACATGTACATAAGAATTGAAAGTACGAACTGCAAACTCCAATAATCGTGGATTTTAATCCTCCATTCCACTACTGTGGTCCTAAAAAAAATATTTTAAGCGTACTTATAGTAGTTAATGAGATTTAAGTTTATTAAGATACTAGTATTTAAAAAAAAATACATGTGAAGTTCGTCAACACGCATTGGAGCAGTGCGGTGGACTCTTTGCTCCCTAACGCTCTCAGAAATGAGAGGCGGCCTGTGCCCAGCAAAGATAGATAAAGATTTATATCGAATAAAACATCTTTTACCGATTTTGGCGTGATTAAAATAGACTTATTTTTAATAATAATAATAATAATAATACAGTCCTCCACACCGTATTTCTGTCACGGCGGGCAGTTTCAACGGGTACTAGCCATCTGCGCAGGACAAGATTTTAGTTCCCGATTGTATACGCAAGCACAGGTGCACTCTCTATTCCCTGACTCTCATAATTGGACAGGATAGTAATCCGACACAACCGGAGAGAATTCAGGAGCAGTAGCAACTGCTTTACGTGCTTTCTGAGGCACGGGTGTAAAACACCGCTAACTTTCTGACTCCGAGCTGCTACTTAGAATTTGTTGAATTTCTTTGATAAATCTAATAGCTGATTTTGACTCGACACGGAATTCAAATTTGGGACATCATGACCAGCAACCGCGTTGGCAACCACTAGACCAACGAGGCATTCAGTTTATTTTGCAATACAAAAACAGGTAAATACGGCTATCCACTCATGGCAGCTAAAAATAACAAACACACAAACATTTGTGTGTTTGTTATTTGGCTGCAAAAATTGTCTTTAATATAATTTCATGCGTCCATTTTTAAGAGATTCATTCTAGGTGTCTCAATACACGAATTAATTGAGTACAATTCAAGGTACAATTCTAGAAATTTTAACACTGTTTCATTGTCCCAAATCATTTTTAATAGTTGTTCCAGTTAGCGATCACAACACATGCACACACAAAATACTCCACATCCGTATAGGTTAACGGCGCACGCGCTTCTGAATATGGCCATTTGTGGACGGTTTATTTGCGTACTTGCCTATTTGACTCCTTTGATGTGCGTCGAGGAATCGACAAGCGCACGGTAACACGTATTTGATATTGGTCATATTTGTCAAGTAGGCAAAAAAGGCCAATACTTTGTCAAATATACAGTCCACGTGTGGTAATTGCCAAATATGTCAAATACGCAAATACAAACAGCCATGTGAAATGTCACCATTAAAACTGTTTAAAAAGTAGAGTACATTCGGTTTCCATAAAAAGTATTTTTAATAATAGCACTTTTACTAGTCAAGTTTATTTTAAAAAATAACCATTAAAAAGCCTCAATAAAATAATTTACACAAGATAATTTCTTTTACGAATATGTATATTGTATGTATATGTATGTGTTCTGGCAAATTTACTACAGACTTAGCTCTGCTTACTTTCTAAAAACTGAAAACATGTTACTGAAAGGTTAAATCGAACACTTAACTTACTCGTAGCTCTAACTAACTCTAACTCAAAGGAGGGATTTCGCCATAATTGCAACGCTTTGCAAGGGGATTTGCGACCACAATATTTTATAACTTCGAGTTTTTTTTCAGGAAAGTACTGCTGCCTATCTCCTGTTTCAGTTTATGTATGTCACCTCTTACGACACATGGACGATATAATTTTTACATCTCCCATAAACGGTTTGGCTTCCACAAACTAAAAAAATCAGCAACTACCCTGTCCAGCTACGTAAATATTATGTGCAAATATTTCAAGGTTGTATTACGTTAGTTGCTGTTGCTGTTAAAATGATTATATCTAGTATTTGATTCATATTGGCTAATACAGAGGAAGAATAATATATAAGTATATATGCACCTTTTCAAATTGAACTAAAAATTAAAAAAAAACTAAACGTGTCATATACTTACAAAAAAACCTTTAGTCGAATTGTAAACTTCTCCCTTTTTTGTAAAGTCGAGTGAAAGGTTTCCTCTTCAATTTCAGTAACATTTCGGAAAAAGACTAACAATCAAATAAAATACAAATTATAGTTTAGAAATAATTTAGTTATATATATAATACCAAACTCATCCAGAAATATATATGTCTCCTCAGTTTCAAGGCCCTAGTTGCCTCAGCCAGTATCGGAATTCTCGGCATCGACATATCGAGTGACGTGCAGTTTCGTGGTCACTTGGAAGAGAAGGCTAAATTGGCCTCTAAAAAGATTGACGTGCTCAGCAGAGCGGGACAGTATTTCATGCTGGCAAACCGCCTGCAATTTCACAAGGCATAGGTTCGGCTTCACTTGGAATACTGTTCCCATCTCTTGGCAGGGGCTCCCCAGTGCCAGTTCCTTCCACTTGACCGCATCCAGCGTAGAGTGGATCGAATCATCGACGACTGAGTTCTTTCCGATCGGCTTGATTCACTGGCACTACGTTGCAACAGATGTTGCATCTCTTTGCGTATTTTATCGCATGTACCACGGGGAGTGTTCTGAGGAATTGTTCGGACTAATTCCAGCCGCTCTATTTCACTATCACACATCGTGACAAAACTCGTGATACCATCCATACCATCTGGATGATTGGCGGTCCACCACTATGCGATTTAGAAGATGTTTTCTTCCTCGCATAACCTCCTTGTGGAATCGATTACCACCAGCGAATTTTTCGGATCGATACAACTAAGGGACCTTCAAGAAAAGAGCCTACTCCTTTTTAAAAGGCCGGCAACGCCTCTGCAATTCCCCCGGTGTTGCAGTTGTTTATGGGCGGCGGTAGTCACTTACTATCATATGAGCCGCATACTCGTTTGCTCGCTCACCTATAATAAAAATATATGTTACTGGATGACTTTTTTACCGTCTGGAAACAAAATAGAGTGTAATAGGAGAATGGAGTAGAAGCCTATGGGACTGATGTTCTACAACTTTAAAAAAAATCAAATTATTAAATTTATCTATATACAGATACTATTATTTTGAAGGAAATTTTCCACTCTAAAAGTATATAAACAAAAGTTTTGAAATAAATAAATAAATCAATAAAAAAATATCGAAATTCCAATCAGCACCCTATTTTACGAGGGGCAATAATAATATCAATCTATTTGTAACGCGAAGCTATACATTTAAAACAACCGACACTCGATGCACCCACGGTAGGGCTCTTTGATATCCTTCCTCAGGCGCAAGTGCCGCCCGCGCATACCCACCTACTCCCCGCGCTTTCATTACAGTTTTCAGTCACCTGCGTTTAGGCATCGCGTGACTTCGTACTATTTATATTTCCACGTGTGTATCGGGCGCCCGCTGATAGATATCGTAAACA